CTTCATCATCAACCAAACTTAGCCTTTCAAGATCACCACCTTAATTCCCATAATCTCCCCCCTCCCCAAACATTCGGGCTTTGTAGACAAAAGCTGATGCAAAATATCGGTCTGATCTCATTGGCTTGAGATGGGTCCATTGCATCTTGAACCAGTTAAATTTTTCAACAGACCAGGGCTTGAAATAACAACTGATTACCAATCAATAATCAGCAAGAAATTGCTTATGATCAGTGGAAAAGCAGGGCTTTCAACCTGAAAAAGCAGGGAAAGTCATGACTGCCGATCACCATGATCAATCACCATGATTGGGAATTTTGGGAATGTTATTTCAGGCCCGGACAGACAAACACCATGTTGATAGTATGTGTCTATATACAGTATGTAAGCATAGTGTAATCATTTGTAATGAATCTTTTGTATTTGAATCTACTGTGATTAAAATATGTTTAATTAAAATGCCAGGTAAAATAAACTTGTTTTCAATAAAAGTTGGCTTCCAATGAAGCTGCAGCTTTGAGGCACCATTTCACTTGTGATGTTATACATTTTCATAGTGGACAGTATATAACAAGATGATGAATTTAATTAGATTAGACATAGGTTAGTAATAGGGGGAATGGGGAAACCAGATTGCTCATTTTAGGTGGTTCTCATTGTCACCCATTTCTAAGTTCTAACCAAACTCATTTTGCTCTTGCAAAAGGTGTGAAGGCAAGCAATCTAGTTTTAAGGTGCCAGAAACATGTGCTTGTGTTCAGCTTTTTCAAGGAGCTGTCCTTGTTGGATCATGGTTTACTATTTTTGCTAAATGTGTTTCCTAGGCATGCTGATGAACAAAGGTATACACTGTAGGGCAAAACAGTCTATATATAACTTTATCATATATATGCTGAACATTGGCAGGTAAAGCGTAATGGACTTCCTGTTGATGATCTAATAACAATCTTCAAAACATTAGTCAGATCAATCCTACAATATGGTTGCCCAGTCTGGCACTCGAGTCTTCCGACGTACTTGTCTGATAAAATTGAGAAAATTCAACGAAGAGCTTTCCGAATTATATATCCGTTTCAATCGTATAATGATGCACTTTCAATGTCTGGTTGTCTGTCATTAGCGGAAAATAGACAACAATTATCTCAAAAACTTTTTAAACAAATTAAGTCGACTAGTGGTGATCGTCTGTCGTATCTCATACCAGAAACCAGATTTCAGAAACATGGCCGAAAACTTCGAAACAGTGAAAATCTCGACATTTTTAAATGTAACACAAATCGGTTCAAAAACAGTTTTTTCCCAACTAACGTTAGTTACTGCAACTCAAATAGATAAGCTCAAAATATTTTTAGACATTTTATAGTAGTATAGTAAGTTGTAGATATTTATATATATATATAGATTTTGGATTCTCTAGATGTAAATGTAAAGTAATTCACCAATTGGTGCCATTTTACATAATAATAAACCATCATTATTATTATTATTATTATTATTATTATTATAGGTACGAAAACTATGTCATTTGCGCATTTGTAGTTTGATAAAATAAAAGATCTATACTCCCACGAAAATTGGACTATCATCGTGACATCGAATGACGTCATGGCACATGACGTCATCACGTTTTGCGTCATCGATGACGTCATAGATTTTTGACTAACGTGCGAAAAATCCTAGATCCGCCCCTGCCAAAATCTATATATATATAAATATCTACAACTTACTATACTACTATAAAATGTCTAAAAATATTTTGAGCTTATCTATTTGAGTTGCAGTAACAAACGTTAGTTGGGAAAAAACTGTTTTTGAACCGATTTGTGTTACATTTAAAAATGTCGAGATTTTCACTGTTTCAAAGTTTTCGGCCATGTTTCTGAAATCTGGTTTCTGGTATGAGATACGACAGACGATCACCACTAGTCGACTTAATTTGTTTAAAAAGTTTTTGAGATAATTGTTGTCTATTTTCCGCTAATGACAGACAACCAGACATTGAAAGTGCATCATTATACGATTGAAACGGATATATAATTCGGAAAGCTCTTCGTTGAATTTTCTCAATTTTATCAGACAAGTACGTCGGAAGACTCGAGTGCCAGACTGGGCAACCATATTGTAGGATTGATCTGACTAATGTTTTGAAGATTGTTATTAGATCATCAACAGGAAGTCCATTACGCTTTACCTGCCAATGTTCAGCATATATATGATAAAGTTATATATAGACTGTTTTGCCCTACAGTGTATACCTTGGTTCATCAGCATGCCCAGGAAACACATTTACCAAAAATAGTAAACCATGATCCAACAAGGACAGCTCCTTGAAAAAGCTGAACACAAGCACATGTTTCTGGCACCTTAAAACTAGATTGCTTGCCTTCACACCTTTTGCAAGAGCAAAATGAGTTTGGTTAGAACTTAGAAATGGGTGACAATGAGAACCACCTAAAATGAGCAATCTGGTTTCCCCATTCCCCCTATTACTAACCTATGTCTAATCTAATTAAATTCATCATCTTGTTATATACTGTCCACTATGAAAATGTATAACATCACAAGTGAAATGGTGCCTCAAAGCTGCAGCTTCATTGGAAGCCAACTTTTATTGAAAACAAGTTTATTTTACCTGGCATTTTAATTAAACATATTTTAATCACAGTAGATTCAAATACAAATGATTCATTACAAATGATTACACTATGCTTACATACTGTATATAGACACATACTATCAACATGGTGTTTGTCTGTCAGGGCCTGAAATAACATTCCCAAAATTCCCGATCATGGTGATTGATCATGGTGATCGGCAGTCATGACTTTCCCTGCTTTTTCAGGTTGAAAGCCCTGCTTTTCCACTGATCATAAGCAATTTCTTGCTGATTATTGATTGGTAATCAGTTGTTATTTCAAGCCCTGGTCTGTTGAAAAATTTAACTGGTTCAAGATGCAATGGACCCGTCTCAAGCCAATGAGATCAGACCGATATTTGGCATGAGCTTTTGTCTACAAAGCCCGATGTTTGGGGAGGGGGGAGATTATGGGAATTAAGGAGGTGATCTTGAAAGGCTAAGTTTGGTTGATGATGAAGGAAGTTTTTTCTCATGCCCCAGGAAGTTTTTTTCTCATGTCAGTGTTGTGTACAAGAGTGAGGTTATTGTTATTGGAGGCAAGAGTGGTCTTTTTGCAAGCCGATATATTTAACTTTAACCTCATGTTCCAGAAAATTTATTAATAAAGTTTCCTACAGTATGTTAGGAATAATATCCTGGTGAATTTGCATCATGACCAAGCCAAGTCATTTAATTTAATTAGTCTTCAACCATAGTGCTTCTTCGCTTATAAAAAGTGACCTACTGTATAGACCTTTCACACTTGCACTGTAAACATTATAGGTCAAATTATAGGTCATTGGTACCTGTGAATGCTTAGGAAACAGAGCTATACACTGTCAGGCAATTGCCAGTTGCATTAGATCTTAGATCTAAAAATATAACCAAAGATTATATTATTATTATCTTTATAAAGTACATTTGTAGAGCTATTATCAGTCAATCAATACTCTATAAAGCATGTACACAATAAATATTTTTTATCCAACATGATCAAATATTTGAGATCAAGTTTCTGCCACTTGAGGTGTTTTAATTTTATACACATATAAATGAATATGTATGCAGTACATGAAACTTTGGACCTATAACCTCGCACAATTATGCAAATCGTACGTTCAATTCAACGATTTATTGTTCAAAATTCAAACCACTTTACCTTATTGCCATACACCTCTTATTAATCTCTTGAAAATATAGACGACGAAAAATCAACACATCATAGTTTCGGTCAAGACAATTTTCTTGCATCCATCGAATTTATCAGCTTGAAATATTCTCCACAAAACACCAGAAAGCATCCCTTATCGTAACAAATAACGTTATAACCCTTTCGAAATCTTTATTTCGAAAATAGTTCAACAAATATACTAAGATTAAGCGAAATAATTTGCTTGTAAAATTGTACAGAGCTGCAACAGAGTTACCAAGTGCACAATGCTTCCAAATTGAAGATTAGAAGGCCAATCAGAGGAGATGTTCTTTAACTCTTTTGCGAAAATTGTCCAATCAGAAGCTGCTATCTATTTGCAGGATTAGTCAAAATAGTCAAAATTGCGCAATCGTTAGTCAAAATAGGTCTGACCAATCAACATGCCTGTAATGTGTAATCTGATCATGAGCAAATTTGACCAATCAAATCACATGAACTAAAATGCAGAATAGTCAATTTTCATTTCAATACCGCTTATTTGACTTATCGTTTGACTAATCAATCGCTGGCTCAATGTGCAAAAACTGATCGAAGTTTATATGCTGGAGTGTGATGTAGTTTTGATTGCATGATCAGAAATGAAGAGAAGCGTTTGCGCTGGGAAAAAATTCAAAAACCTTAGTCCAAATTTTTTTATATGCCTTTTTTTACGTTAGTCGCGTGACTAATCTGACTACCCCTAAATCCGCCCCTGGACGGAATCCGCTAGTGGATAAGGCTGGGGGTACCATATCCGCTAACAGTCCAAATCCGCTGTGACACCGGTGCAGCGCCGGATGTCTCGAAAAACTGCAACGCTATAACTGCAACCTTCTACAACGCTCCTGGGATTTGAAAATAATTGTCCTCGTTATTACGTTATACCGGGTACGCCGGAGCGAGGGTAGGCCACAGGGGGGGGGGGCAATGTTGACGTAAGGGCAATCACTAATATGCCAGAAAATTTCAGGTATATTTCAATATTACGTCCATTTCACCCGTAATTCATACTTTTTAATTGTTGTACCTTGGGTTAGAATTTTTTTTTAAGAGCACTTTCGCCCTCCCTGCCCCCTTACTAAAGGGCAAGGGGGGCGATGCCCCCCTCCCCATAGAGATTATAAATAACACTTATTTATAATCTCTATGTGTTATTTATAATCTCTATGCCCCTCCCTGCGTCCCCCTTGCCTGTCTTGCGAAGGAATTCACAAATTTTCAAATTCAATATGGCGGCCAATTTATCTGCTTGTGTTAAGGACGATTCCTGTTTGTTCATGCGACTACCTGAAGAAATTGTCGAGAAAATCTTGTGTTATTTATGGTTAAGGTCTGACCAAAACCTGGGGAGACTCGTTTGTACTTTATGGAATAGACTTCTGCTCAGAATACGCAATAAACGACATGAAACGTTTTTGCAATCTGTAAAAAATGGCAAAATTTACTGGAGGAAATATGCTAATACTTCACGTGTGAGCCCTGCTCCGAGATTTTCTCATGCTTCATGTGTTTTGAAGGGAAAGCTTTGTATATTTGGTGGATGTTCGTCAACAAATACTGTCTACAACGATTTGTTTGTGTTTTGTTTGGCAGAGCAGAAATGGTCAAAAGTTACCACAAGCGGATTTACTCCAGTACCAAGAGAATGTGCTACATTAGTCAGTTATTGCACTAAAAACAGCTGCATTATGATTCTTTTTGGTGGATGTTGTCAGCCGCCCAGATCTTTGATGCCGTCCAATGGCAAGTTTTTTAACGATGTACAAATTTTAGGTTTTGTTGACAAACATTGGACAGGGATGAGGGCTGACGAGAGCTATCCGTGTCCTCGGGCAGGCCATTCAGCTTCTGTTATTGGTAATACCATGGTTATATTTGGAGGAGCACAGAGCGAAAAAAGGTCAGATTTGTATTGCTGTGGCGCCAATTATTTAATAGCCATGCTAAGTCCAGCTCACCCGATTAGCGTGTTTGATGCCGGCTGCCAGCCAGAAAACTATGTTTCCAATTGCTTGGCTGCCAGCCGGGGTACTATTAGTATAGTATATTATTGATTCAAAAAATGTGTACATTTCGGTGACTTGTACTTGAATGTAAACTTACAGTCACACTGAACATTAAATTATCTAACTGCATCTAAATTCATCTTCCCAATATCTATGGCTAGCTATATAACAGGTAAATAAACAAGAAAAAACAAATATGTCAAAGAGAAAAGTTGAAATTTATTTGTGCTCACTTTGAGATAAGTCCAAGTCCATGAGCTCACTTTGAGATGAGTGTTGTTATACCTGCTTGTTACCACACCTTAGGCCACATAAAATAAATTCCTTGATTCTCATCACTACACTTTGAAAATGTCGAAGAGGCGGGAGGTTTATATTTTATATTTATATAATTTAATATATATCAATAAATAAAAGTGTCACAAACTGAAATAAAATATTTCTCCACGAACAATGACTGGCCCTTGAACTGAATGCGAAGTTCCGTTAAAATGCAATGAAATTTCTTTCAAGGTTCTATATTTACTGATAGACAACAGTATGTGGCTTTAGGGGATTTTCAGTCATCTAAACAAACAATGACATGTGGGATTCCTCAGGGAAGCACACTTGGACCATTGTTGTTCCTAATATATATTAATGACTTGCCAAACTGCTCTAACAAATTAAAGTTTAGATTGTTTGCAGATGACACTAACATATTTGCCTCATCTAGAAATATTCAGGAACTAGAAACTTTAATCAACACTGAGATTTCCAAGGTTAAAGAATGGTGTAATTCAAATAAATTGTCAATAAATTTCTCTAAGACAAATTTTATGATTATTAAGTCAGCTAGAAAAAAGGACATGCAAATTGACATAAAGATACAAAACGCAGATGGTTCTTGTGTTCCTTTAGAAAGAAAAGATCATATAAAATATTTAGGGGTTATGATTGATGATACCATATCTTGGAAATACCATATCCCATATATTTGTTCCCACACACCGCTGAGGGATGCTGCACACGCAAGCCTGACCTTTAATTAATTATTAACAATATCTCATATTTACAAACGAGGATCGCAACAAAATATCAACCAGGATACCTGCCAATAGGGTGGGTGGGTGGGACACAGGTCAGGCTAGCACAGGCAAGCAAAAAAGTGATTCGGTGACCTGGACCCCACCCTTGATCCAGTCCCCCAGCAGTGTGTGAGAAAAACATTTTCTGCCTCTTTCGTTCCTCAGCCGGCAGAAAATAACACTTCCCACACACCGCTGAGGGATGCTGCACACGCAAGCTCAAAACGCATAGTGTCACAAAGAGCTTAGGAGAATGTTCAGCTAGACTTATATTAGGTGTTCTTATCCTGAATAGATTTAGTAACTAATAACAAAGAGTCCAGGCTCTCTTCTAGATAATTATTCTTAGCTGTCTCACTTCTCCAGCCTCCATGTCGTTGGAACAACCGGTCCGGTACACCCAAAGCTGCTGCTGCCGACGCCCCACCTGCACGTAGACTATGTAGGCTATAGCGACTGACATTCAGTCCTTCCTTCTTTAACTCTGCTTTCAGTAGTTGGTTGGCCCTACTATAGGACATGCCCTGCTTCTTTAGTTGCCAGCCATTTTTTGTATGCTGGACTCGCCGAAATAACTTGGATCCCTGCGCATGACAACCTTGCACTAGGAATTTCTTTACTACTTCCACTGGACACGGTTTCACTTCCGAGCTTGAAATGAACACCCACGAACCGTCTCTAAACTGGTCATTTTTTCGTTTTTCTAAGAACAATGCCATATGCGAATCCTCAATTTGGATATTGTCTGCGGTCAAATTACTTAGGTCATCCCATCGCAGAAAACCAAAAAATCCCAAGGCGATCAACGTGGCTAACTGCAACTCCGCCAGACTACCTTGCTCCAAGCGCAGCACTAACTTCCTCACCAAGTCGGCTCCAAGAGGAGACTTCCGCGTTGCCGGTTTTGCCAGGATCCGTCGTGCTGCTTCCATTAGCTGTTTAACTAACGGATGCTGCGAAGGTTCCAGGAAACCCCCCTTCTTGTGTACCCAGCTAACGCCATACACTATAGAGTTAACTGCTGCCACCGATCGTTCTTGTTGGATAAGAAAGACTAGATACAATGCAAAGGGCACTGTCTCGGCCGGCAAGGGAACCACACCCCGATGGATTGCCCACTGCTTCCACCTACGGTATGCCCCCAGATAAGTTTTAACAGTTTTATCGGCCCTGTCCTGCACCAGAATCCCAGGCAGCACATTGGCTAATCGAGCCAATTCTGGATCTTTGAAACATGTAGGTTCCAGTTCAGCCGGTAACACCACCTCTTTTGCAACAGCTTGCACCACTGCAACTGAAAAAACGCAAATTTTTTTTTTTTTTAAAAAACTACCCGACCATGCCCCTAAAAAGGGGTGGTCCCCAGGGTATTGTACCCCAACAAGTTGTTGTGCCCTTAACAGGCAATATACTGCCTTGCAGGCTACCAAACCCCAAACAGGCTACCAAACCCCTTACAGGATTTTTTTTTTTTTTTTTTTTTTTTGGTGCCCATACAGGCTATTGTGCCCTGTACAGGCTATTGTGCCCCTTACAGGCTAATGTGCCCCATACAGGCTCTTGTGCCCCTTCTTGTGCCCCTTACAGGCTATTGTGCCCCTACAGGCTATTGTGCCCCTTACAGACTATTGTGCCCCTTACAGGCTATTATGCCCCTTACAGGCTATTGTGCCCCTACATGCTATTGTGCCCTTACAGGCTATTGTGCCCCTAACAGGCTATTGTGCCCCTAACAGGCTACTGTGCCTTTGCAGGCTAACTGCTCCTAACAGGCTATTTGTCCCTACAGGCCTTTCAGCATTTGCCTGTAATCGTGCCATGCACTGGGTAAAACTCACCACTGCTATCATTCTGCCACAAAACTGAGCCTCAATGCCACAATTGTATAGGGCGGTACACCCGAAGCAAATTGGCCACTTGCTGCTGAACCGGGTACCAAGATGCCATCATATGGTTGAAATCGGCAACAGGCCCTGACAAATTCCTGCCATAATCCTTGTTTGGTAATCAACAATGGCCACCATGGGGCAGAATGCCATTCCGGTAATATAAGTGTTCCAAATTCTTTACCCTCTGCCATATGTCTTAACACTCGTGGGATCAGGTAGGGGGGAGGAAAAACCCAATTAGTTTCTCCTCTCCAAGAAACAGTGAAGGCATCCACAGCCTCACAACCAGGATTTCGAAACCGACTGCAATACCGTGGAAGTTGTTTGGTATGCACAGTTGCAAAACGATCCACTGTATGAGGACCCCACTCTTTGTCCAACCGCTGGAACACCAAGGGGTCCAAACTATAGTCATTTGCATCCTCCACCCTAGACAAGGCATCTGCCTGTTCATTGTCATCCCTGCTAACCCACTCGACTGATAAGCGTATGCCATTCTTTTGGCACAGTTTGTAAATTTCCACTGCCTCCCGATGAAGGTCCTGCTTCCGGCTACCCACAGACAAAATATGCACAGTGTTCATATTGTCAGTCCTGTGACGTACCTCCCTTCCCTGAAGACTGAGAATGAGAGATTCCAATACTAGTCTAGTTGCTCTGATCTCCCTCCATGTGGAACTTTTATGCACTTCAGTTTCCGACCAACAACCGATAGCAGATTGTTCACCAATCTGAACTGCATATCCACCCCAACCTGTAGCACTAGCATCAGAGTAAGTCATCACGTCAATTTTTGGACTTGGGGACCAAATAGGATAACCACCATTATCAAAATTATCAATCCAGAAATATATCTCTTGCTGCGCTTCGGTTGAAAGGGCAAACAGTATATCCCAGGATGGGGCTTGAAGGATCTCACGATACAAAGCCCTAGTCCAGAGACGAACCACCGGGCCAATAGCCAACCCCATGGACACCAACATACCAGTAAGTCGAGAAAGGGATCGAGCAGATGAAACAAAGCCTTTCGACACAGCATACTGCAGGCCTTCTTGAAGGGATTCTACCCTCCTTTGTGGAACACGAAATGTACCAGATTTCAGGTCCATAACAAACCCAAGTAACTCCCCTGATTGGACCGGTTCCCATTGACATTTATCCTTATGAGCTACAAACCCACTGTCTGCAATGTCCTGTCTCACCAGGGTTGCTGTTTTTAGAGCCTCCTCCAAGCTAGTCTCTGCTCCAGCACCGTCATCAAGGTATGTAAAAACTCTGAACCCTTTCCCTCTCCAGTGTTTAACTAAAGCCCTCTGCACCTTAGAAAATACATACGGGCCAGTGGACAAACCAAATGGGAGGACTGTAAATTTAAAAAATTTTTGGACACCATTAACCTCCCATGAGCAACCAAGAAATTGGGTATGCTCAGGGAAAATCTCGATGTGATGATATCCACTGGCATAATCAAACTTGAAAAACCAATCCCCTTTTTTGAACAAGTTTGCAGCTGTCCGAATGTCCTCGTATTGGAACTTACAAGATCGCAAATGCTTGTTGACATAACGCAAGTCCAGAATCAATCTGGGCTTCTGTGCATTATTAAACACTACGCCCAGGGGATTACAGACAGTCAACTTGTGTGCTTTTACCTCCACTAGCACCCCAGATAACCGAAGTTTGGCTATTTCTTGTGTCACAAATTCGGATGATTTGAAAGCACTCCTGTGATTAGATAACACTACTTGCTCTGGCATGTCAATAAACGGTAAACAGTATCCTTCCCGAATTATCTCCAGTACCCATCGGTTAGTCCCAATGTTCTCCCAAAAAGAAATGTTTTCTCGCAGTCGTCCCTTCACTATTGTACCTGAGCAAAGCTCCAAGTTTTCAATATCAACAAACGAACAATAATTTGAACCATCAATATTAGTACATGAATCATTCCTACTATTTACAAAGTTATCCCTCTCCCAATCACTGGGTATTTGGTTGCAAAGAGGGTCCACTAGGTTGTGCTCCATTAAAAGTGACTGTTCTTGTGTTTGCGGATCGACAATCCCTAGCGAAATGGCCGGGTCTGAGGCAACGAAAACAAACACCGCTTGTATTGTTACGCAATACCTCCGACTTTCCCGCCAAAACCCCCCGTTGCGCGGGAAACGATGCTCTGTCAACAACGCCCTTACGTTCCGTTTGGGACCCGCTAGACCACATAAACTGCCTCTTAGATTTCGTAGACTGTCCTAATTTCTTTTTCTTTTCGTCCCTAACACGCTGACTCTCCTTCACAGCCTTTTTAATCCGTTTTTCATCGTCTGCATCGGCGGCAAGAGGCTCAGCAGTGTAGCATTCGACCGTGTCCCAACCAAATTTCTCTGCTAACAAAATATGTTTGTTTCTTTCATTTAGCAAGCTCTTACCTTCGTTCAACGCAGCCGTTCGTTGCTGTTCGTCGGTAGTCGTTAGGGCTACTTGAATCTTGTCAGCGACGCTGTTATTTAGCTCGTATTGTTTTTTGTTCCCCACATATTTGAAGACAGGTTCGAGTACTCGCTCATCCCGTGTCGACATAGACGTTCGACCACGCTCGATTTCGCTTTGTAGACGTTTTATTTCTTTTCTGTATTCCTCCTGGTTCTTTAACAACTCTCTCGCC